CAAACAGAGTAATATTGTGTATGCTGTTCAGTGTCAGGAGGGCTGTGATCAGTCTTACATCGGGGAAACTAAACAGCCACTGGACAAAAGGATGGCCCAGCACAGAAGATCAACATCATCAGGCCAGGACTCTGCGGTCTACACTCATCTCCAGGCCAGCGGTCACTCTTTCAGGGATGAAGATGTTCACATCATGAACAGAGAGGAAGGATGGTTTGAGAGAGGAGTAAAGGAGGCCATCTTTGTGAAAAGAAACCGTCCATCATTAAACAGGGGTGGAGGCCTCCGGGTTCAACTGTCCCCCTCTTACAATGCTGTTATTGCTAGTATCACTCAGCCCTCTGTGAGTAGTAAACAGCCATCAGTGTGCTAATGATCCATTGTTAGGCTGATGGTCCTTCTTGAGCATGTGATCAGCTGGTTTTGGTTGTCAGCAGCAAAACTGGTTGATCCACTCTGAGAAGGTGCTATTTAAGAGACTGAGCTGAATACAGCACCTCAGACTGAGGAAGTCTCTCGGATGAGAGACGAAACGTTTCTACATATTTTGTTGTTTTGCTTTGTTTTGTTTTTTAATGTCCAGAGGACCAGATTTAACTTTTTTGGATTTTTCTACCTGGATAATTGAGCATGCATCAGGATATCAATGAGAATAATTCAAATAAAAATGTCAACAAACAATATTAAGAAAATTACATCTCTTTTTTTCATTATTTGTTTTTCTGTAAAACAAACTAAGAGCAACATTTGTTGACAGAGGAATTTAATAAACACGTCTTGAAGATCATTTTTTTATTAAGAATCAACCTGATGACACTTTCTGCAGGAGATCCAGACTGTTCAAACACTGAAGTTCATCATGACTTCATCATGACTTCATCATGTTTTCATCATGAGTTCATCGTGTATTCCTTATGACTTCATCATGGCTTCATCATGAATTTCTCATGAGTTCAATATGAGTACATCATGTGTTCGTTGTTACTTTTTTATGAGTTCAACATGACTTCATCATGACTTCATCATGAATTCCTCATGAGTTCAATATGAGTTCATCATGCATGCATCATGACTTCATCATGAGTTCAACATGAGTTCATCATGACTTCATCAAGAATTCCTCATGAGTTCAATATGAGTTCATCATGCATTCATCATGACTTCATTATGAGTTCAACATGAGTTCATCATGACCTCCTCACAAGTTCATAATGAGTTCAACATGGTCTCAACATGAGTTCATCATGAATTCCTAATGAGTTCATCATGACTTTATTGTTTCTTCATCATGAGTTCATCATGACTTCATCAAGCGTTGATCACGAGTTCATCATGACTTCATCATGAGTTCATCATGTGATGCTGGATAAGTTCAGACATCAGTTTCACCTTCATTCAACAATAAATAAATAAAAACACTCTGTTTACATCTCGGCTTCACTCACATTACAGATAAAAACAGTTACTAAACAAACTGGTTGGTTTAAAATACAAGTCGTCTAAATATGAATAAAAAGAGTGACTTTATTTGTAGATATTTGACTCATGATATTCACAGGATATTTAACATTTTTGTTTGAATTGTAACTGTATTTTAATTGTTGTTGTATTATTGTAACCTTCAAAGTCCTGCATGTTTTAATCAAACACTTCTAACATCAGGGAAGCAGATGGATTTTATTGTCACTTCTGTCTACCAGAACCTGTTGAGCAGGTTTTTACACAAAGTTTTCAATAACAGAGAAGATATTTTAATGAAGCTCTGAATCACTTTTATCATAAAACATCATCCCGTAAATAAGAGGTCAATCTATGTTAATGTGTAAAAATACATGTATTGACAATAATCTTTTGTTACTTTCCTCCAGAGTTGAGCACATTCACTCAGCTGATCCATGCTGGACTTTGAGTTTACAACTGTGGAGACTCTGCTGAGTTTGGTCAACGGAAATAAATGTTTAATTGTTTGTAGCTGAGAGTTTATTGTTGTGATGTGACGCTGATGTTTCTTTGTCGTTCCATTTTGTTCCTTGTTAAATAAAGTTTTCTTGAAAAGACAATGAAAACATGAACGGGCTCCTATCAAGAGAAATTTGTCTTTTCTTCCTCTCACTCATAAAAGTTTGATACAGACAATCAGAACACAGAAATAATTCAACAGTTTTTCAGGTGTTAGTATCAGTATCCTTGAGAAATATAAAAATATGTCAACAAACAAAATGAACAAAACGATTTTTGGAGTTTTGTCAAAGTTTTAGACATCTGCAGCTCCTCACAGGGAGAAAAACTGAGAGAGCAAATGTTGGAAGATGAATTTGATCAGTGAGTCTTTAAATTCGTTTTTAAACCACACGTTGTCTTTTGATTTAGCAACTTCATTTAAAACTTTTCAGCTGATCCTGTCTGCTTTGTCTGCCTTTTACAGCTCGACTAGTTTCATGAGGAAAAATAAAACATATTCTGCTTAAAGCACACATATTATTATTGCAGCAATCTGTTGCAGATGTTGGGAAGTTTTGCTGCTCAGATAAACAGGGCCCGCCCTCTCCCCTGTCAGCTCCTCTGAGACAGTCATGTCAAAGTGGTTCAAAACACCAAAGTTCATGCAGGTAAAAATCCCTTAAGTTCAGTCAGGCCATCTGAACGGTTTCTTTTTTTTTTTGCCAAGATGTTTCGTCCTTCGTCCGAAGGACTTCTTCAACCTGAAGAGCGACCAAACAAACTGATTCCCACCAACAGCATACTCCAAAGCAGAAAAAAGCAGTTTGCTGGTGCTAAAATGGCCTCCAGGGCCAGCCCTCTCCTCCATCAACTCCTCTGATATAGTCATGCCAAAGTCGTTCAAAACACCAAAGTCCATGCGCAATAATCCAGGTATAAAATCCAACAATGTTCAGTTGGGTCATCTGAACGGTTTCTTTGTTTTTTTGCTGAGACGCTTCATCATGTACAACAATCAAATGTTTTAGGCCAGATGGCCAACTTGCTTCTCACAGAAACAACCTGAGGACAACAAAGGCCAAAGTGCTTCAGAAAAAAAGGTTTGTAAACTCAATCATCCAGGTAGACATTGTTATACATGATGATTGATTGTTTAGGATGGATGGTCCCTTTGTTGCATGTGTAAAGCTAGTTTCTTTGGATTCCACACAGGACTGCCTTGAAACACATCAAGGAGGTTTATTTATGGAACAGATCTGGGTTAGCAGGCCTCAGACTGAAGAAGTGTTTTGGATGAAAGACAAAATGATTCTCCCTTACTTGTCCAGATTACCTCATTTAATCTTTTTATTGTTATCTGCCATGAGCTTACAAACCTTTTTCCAACCAAGCAGGGTTTAGGGTCTGGCATTTTTTTCCTTAAAGCTAATAGCTGAAACACTCTTTTCAGTACCGACGCACTGATTGTGACACTGATGAAGCCTTGGTTGAGTCAGTTTCCCTAAATGTCCAGATGTTTATGTTTTACTATGAAAATAATCTTTACCTGATGCAGATGATCTTAAAAATCAGTTGCTATGATTTTCAAACCAACAACTGTTTGAAACCAGCAATGATTTTACTGTGGTGGGCTGACTGGTCCAGGATGTGCCCCACCCTCACACCTGTTCTCCCCTCTAGAATAGTACCAGCTCGCCACAACCCTGAACAGGACTGAGAACATATGGAAAATCTATAATATAAAAATATGAGTTTGTGTCATTTTTGAGAAGATTTTCTTCCCTAAATTTTCTTTGTTTGTTAGCTTTAGTCTTGGGTGACACGGTGACGCAGTTGGTAGAGCTGTTGCCTCTCAGCAAGAAGGTCGCCAGATCAAATCCCGGCTGGGGGCCTTTCTGGGTGGAGTTTGCATGTTCTCTCTGTGCATGCGTGGGTTTTCTCCGGGTACTCCGGTTTCCTCCCGCAGACCAAAAACATGCATGTTAGACTGATTGATAACTCTAAATTGTCCCTAGGTGTGAGTGAGAGTGAATGGTTGTTTGTCTCGTTTGTCTCTATGTGTCTCTGTGTTGGACTGGAGACCTGTCCAGTGTGTCCCAAGCCTCTCGTGCAGTAACTGCTGGATATGGGCACCAGTGACCCCCACAACCCAAAAAGGAAGAACCAGGTAAAGATAATGGATGGCACCTGATGCTGCTCAATAATCTAGGTAGAGAAATCTAACAAGGTTAAGTCAGGTCCTCTGGACGGATTCTTCATTGTTGAAACGTTTCGTCTTTTATCCAAAAGATACAGTTTGTTGCAGCGTCTCAAACTGAAGAAGTCTTTTGGATAAAAGATGAAACATTTTAACAAAGAAGAATCCGTCCAGAGGACCTGACTTAACCTTGTTAGATCATGAATGGATGTTTTAGTGTTTTGGTTTAACTCAGATCATGGTATTTAGACAATGGTAAATGGACTGTGCTTATATAGCACATTTCAATCTTATCAATACACTCAAAGCACTTTACAACACAATCTGTGTCCTCATTTACCCATTCATACAGCACTCTACTAGATATATACAAAGAATAATCAGCGTTTTAACACATTCATACACTGATGGGACACACATCAGAGGCAATGAGGGGTTCAGTGTCTTGCCCAGAGACACTTCAGCATCTGACTACTGGTGGAATCAAACCCCCAACTTTCCCATTGGAGGACAACTGCTCTAACCATTCAGCCACAGCTGCACTTTAACTCTCACTCATTCTTTACAAGACACAGCAGTTAAGTGTAGAATAACCCACCCCTCACCTAATCTTACATTTCAAAACGTATAGAGAAAACTACACAGTGAACATAAAATAAGTAGTCAGACAATGGTATATGATATCTTTGTTACTGTAGGGATTTTTTTATATCATCTACTACACAAGTTGGATGACCCAAGCCATTTAAAGTGCATTTTCATTGTAAGTTTGTGCACCCAATGGTTTTTTTCAATAATAGGAGTCCTTCCGAGTGAAAGCCCATTTTAAACATCAACAGGTTAGATAATAACCATCTCCTACCTGTGTTTGCGAGAACTTCGTGAGTGAGATGACTTGTAGGAGTAGCTCGAGTACATTGACTCGTTGTCCATGTCTGAGGCCAGCGGGGGGTGGAGTTTCTGTGCAACTCCTGTCCCCGAGCCGCCGCCCTTTTCCCAGATCACACCCAACTGGCTCTTGCGGTTGCTGATGGACTTGGAGGAAAAAGCCAAAGGAAGACGCAGCAAGTCCACTTTACTCCTGAAGGACTCTATCTTGGACGTCTGTAGCGATAAGGGAGAGTAGAAGTGGACACCCAAGTTAGAGATGAGTTTTAGGAGTGGTAAACTGGCAAAAAGAGCAGAGACCAAGTGAGCTGGAGAACAGAGGGGAGCTGAGGAATGAAGAGAGGGAGGAAAGGGAGAGGATAATTTGTCATGTGAGACAAAATGGTCTCGAAAGGGGCACATACCAAGAAGCAGCGACAAAAAGAGAGACGGCATTGTTAAAATGTTGGCACTCTGAGCCATGCTGAAAGTGTGTGTGCTCTACAGGACACAGCTGAGCCCATTCTTCAGCCTTCAGAGAGGGTTTTTTTTATGACTAACCTCAAGCGATTTGAACCGGAGTGTGTTTCAGCCAATAAAATGGTGAATAGGCCAGATTCTAATTTGAGCTTCAAGTCTCCAGAATGCAGGACATGTCATGGTGAAGGTTGAACATCAAAGTAGCTTAAAAATGTTCCAGAGATAAAATAAACCAGTTTGGTTTAATCTGGGTGTTAAGTTTATCTAAGATAACAAGACACTGTGCATTTTCTTACATTTTCAGAGCATTATGTTAAGGGTTGATGTGGGAACAAGCACCACATTCTCCAACTGCCCCCTGGGGTCTCCCAAGGCAACAGAGCATAGCTACTACAATGGGGATGAATGGGAGTCTAGGGGTGAGAAAACACAAAGGTTGGGGATAGTTGTCATGGTGACCAGATCATCAACTCAGGGCTCCCTCAACTACACACCTCGGAAAACAACAACAGACAATCCATTCATCAGACTGGGAGTCTGGCTTCATTCAAAGGATATTTCTCTTTTTATTATAAGCTTATGAATCCATTTAGTTGCTTTCAGCTTTGAGTTTGTCATCTGGACAGGAATGTGTTTTCTCACAGGTATTTTACAAACTGAGCTTTAATCTGATAATGGAACCCCTCGTGCTTTCTTGTTTGTTCTGGTGTGTCCCCTCTGGAAATCAGACACTGAAGGGGTTTCATGTGATTCGCATGTGGACTTCTGCATTTTGCAAAACAGGGAGGCACAAAAGTAGATATTTAAAACTTTACACATTTTAGGTGCAAGGGCTTAAAATGTGTTTTCTCTAGGAGCATGTATACCAGTGTAGTGTCAACTTTTTTCTTTATTGTTCATACGAACATCAATCCTTAAAAAGGCAACCAAAGTCTCCTGAGTGAATGCTGTAGGACAAGTGTCTTAGGGTGTTTTCACACCTGACAGTACGGTAGACTCGGTTTGATTGGGGACCAAAATTCGGAACATTTTATATTTTCAGCTGGTGCGTTTCACATTCACACTGCACTGTCACTCGAGCCAACCTGTTTCCCTCCACATCTGTGGTGGCACTGCACCAAGAACTACTGAAGGAAACAACACAAAAGCCTCTGAAAAAGACACTTCTTCTTCTTCTGGAAATATAAACAAACACGGAGTGGCGTCAAATTTTAGCAGTTTTAGGATTGCTGTTTAGTAATTTTTCAACAATGGACTCAGCATGAGTGGAAGATGAGGCAGAAGACCATGGAGAATGTTGTTGTTCACACAAGGCGACTGACGGCTCTATATGAGGTATGAGAACTGCACGTCTGTTCGCCCTGCGCTGTAGTCTACTTCCTGCTTTTGGAGTGGTCTCTCGTCCGCTTGCATTCACAATGCATTTGAACTGCACTAGAGAACTTACTTTTAGCTCATTTTCAGCCTTTACAGCCAACCCAACTCTTTCACGACATCTCAGCTCTTTTATATCTTTTGTGACGGCAACAGCTCCTTCCAATAAACCCTTTCAAGACAGGACTGAGATGCCCTCTTTCCATTTGTGTTCAATTTATGTAAGGATCGCAGCAGCAGTTGGAGTCAACAAGCCACTATTATGCCTACCAAGGTAGGTAGTGACATAGGTGTAACAGTTTTTATGTATAAGCATTAGCCAGAATTGTGGGTCGAGGGTGTATTAGGCATTGCATTAGTTCTATTTCATATAGGCTTCGCCCTTTAAGGCTGTCGCTGATGGGTTTATCCCGTTATGCGCAAGCATCATACTGAAAAAATTAGTCCACGCCCACCTGCTGTGTGGGCCCCACCCGATCCGTATAAATTACATTAAGAGCGGGTAATCTGCTCCCATTTTTCTTCAGCAAGCTAGTACAATAAAAAAACAACTGACCTTTCATCGAGATGTCCAGCTCCAGCACCATCCGCTTGTGTCCCTCCTGCAAGACCGGTTACTTGCTTAGCTTCGACCGGCACGACACCTGCGAGGGATGCCTGGGTCCCCGCCACGTCGCCCGCGCTTCCTCCTGCCACCTCTGTGACGAGCTTCCACCGGAGGAAAGGCAGAGGAGAGCAGCCTTGTTTAAGGCTACCATCGAGGACTGCCTGTCCGTGGCGGGAGACTGTTCGCTGGACGACGCCATGGATTTCTTCGACACCGGCTCTCGGAGTGAATCGGATGATTCCTCTGGGACCGGTGACGCTAGCAGCAGCCCCGACGCTCGTTCCCTCCCGGGGAGTGCAGTGTTGGAAAGAGGGAGGCCGAGCGGATGCTCGTCTCCCCCGGGGTTTCCCGCTTCAGCGACCACACCGCTCCCTGCCGTCGGCGTGCTCCTCTCGGAGCTGCCCGCCATTATCCGGGAAGCTGCTAGCGTAAAGGGGCTCTCCGTCCCCCCACCCCCCCCCCGCTCAGATCGGATGATCTTGCGGGAAGGTTTGGCTCCACGCCGGCTCGCCGTCCTGATCCCATTTGGCCTCGTTTTCCAGCGGTGACAGGGTACTGGAACGAGGCCGCAGCCGGTCCTGGTAGGTTAAGGGCGCCCGTCTCCACTTACGCCCCCATCACCAGAGTGGAGGGGTTCACCGAGCGGGGCTATCCCTCGGTACCCCCCCTTGAGCCAAGCCTCGCGGAAGCCTTCGGAGCGAAGCTGTCCAGGCTGGAGAAGCGTCCCGTCCCTCCGGGGAAACACGACCAGGCGGTGACCGCGCTCTCCAACAGAGCCCATCAGTGTGCTTTTCAGGCGGCCGCGGCTAACAACAACGTGGCGCTGTTAGCATTTAGCATGTCGAAGAGGCTGGAGGCCTCAGACCTGCCGGAGGAGACAAAGAGCTCCCTGTGTAAATCGGCAGATGCCATCCTCAACATGTGCGCCGCTTCCACGGTTTGCCTGTCGAGGATTGCAGCGTGGATGACGGTAATCCAACGTTCCACCTGGCTTCGTCACTCTCCCTTGCTGCCGGAAAAGCTGCACAAAGACCTGATGGAGGGCCCCATCTCATCGGACGCGCTGTTTGGAAGCAGCTTGAAGACCATGCTGGCGAATTCGAAGCAGTCGGAGGAGATGTCGGAAGCTGTGCGCCATCTCATCAAGCCGCGCGGCTCATCCCGTCCCCCAGTCCGCTGGAGAGATCGTCGAGAGCAGAGGCAGAAACATCGACATTCCACGGCAGCAGCAGCTTCGTCTCGCCCAGCTCCACCACCAGCCCCGCCCGCCAGAGACCACCCCTCCTCATTCCGGCAGCCTGCACTTCAGCGTTTCCCCAGAGATCGCCTGCAGATGGCGCTCGGGGCAAACAAACCGCAGAGCTCACGGGGGAAAAGATTTAAGAAATGACGGTCTGCGGAGGATGTGTGTATAAATGACACAGGAATTGAAATAAATGATTTTTCAAAGATCAAAATGCCTGTTTTTAGCCAGTCTGTAAGTTCGGATGAGCTCACAGCCGCTACACACACATCCTCCACACATAGAGAGCCGGTGTCCTTAAATAAAGGTTTTTTAAATCCACCGTCGCTCCATCACATGCCCAGACGCTCACGTGACACCACGGTAAGTGAAATAACTTGTTGTCAATCAGAACCGCACGATCACCACCCAAGCGGTGTTAAACGCGCACCCAAGCGAGACAAGCAGCCTCCATCCAAACGGCGCTGTGTTGATGATGCACGCACAGCTGCCCGGCGCTCACCGGCTCACATCGGTATAAATGTGGGACCGCAGGCCGGGTCCGGTGGAGGTCCCCGCTCTCAGCGAAAACAACACACGCCTCTCCTGAGCGAACGCGAGCGGCCGTCATCCACCGCGTCTCAGCGATCAGCAGCTCACGGCGGCATAAGCGTGAGACAGCTGAATGAATCCAATGACGGGCCCCGCCCTCAGCGAGAGCGGCGCGCGTCCCTCCAGAGGAAACGTGCGCTCCCGCGAGGCTCACAACCTTCACTTCGACAGCACGGCGTTGATGAAGTCACGCCCTCTGCCTCTCAACGTTCGCACAGCGACGTTAAACGTGCAGCCTCACGACGTCATCAGCTGGCACACACTTCACCTCAGCACACACCGCCCCGCCCGGACATTAAGGTTGGTCCGCGATCCAGTCACAGCGCACAGGCACGCGCAGAACAGCCCTTTCGAGAAAGCCTCGCCTTGGGTCACGCGGAAAACTTTTCCGCGACGCATGATGGCGGTCGAGGCGGAGGATTGGATGACATCCGTTCAAAACACGGCGCATCATTTAAACGCACGTCCACTCCACGAACGTTACGCAGAGTGGCAAAAAACCTGTTCGCCGGACAGATGGATGGACAGAGTGTTATGCAAGGGTTACACGCTGCAATTTGCAACCCGACCCCCTCCGTTCGGAGGAGTTATAGAGACGGTCCTGTCATCACCAGACCAAGTCTCAGCCTTAAATGCAGAAGTTCAGGAGCTTCTGATTAAAGGTGTAATCTCAAGAGTTCCCAACGAAGAGGAAAACACAGGGTTTTACTCACGCTACTTCCTGGTCCCCAAAAGGACCGGAGGGATGAGACCGATTCTGGATCTGTCAGCTTTCAACAAAGCGATCATGAACAGACCGTTTCACATGTTGACGAACAGACAGCTGTTGGACAACATCCAGAAAAACGACTGGTTTGTTTCCATCGATCTAAAAGATGCTTATTTTCACATACCGATCATCCCAAAACACAGAAAATTTCTGCGTTTCGCCTTTC